CGTGTGCTCTTCCGATCTTAGAAGAAATAATTTTTGTATTTTTTACCCACTGAAGATGGCTCAATGCGGAGCCGAAACGTTTGGGTGACAATGATTATTGTTTAAATATATGTAATTTTAGCACTAATTTCGTGCAAGGCTCACTTGCCCTTCTTTGGATACTTCTTAATCCTTAGATTTATTTTTAGTAAGTGGAAAAATATTTATATACAATCTATGTTCAATGGAAAATGTACCTTATCATTAATCGCCACGTATCGAGTGATACTTTCGTTTTTTATTTCTGTCGGTCTCTTCATCATAGATATCTTTTTCCAAAGATTTTTGTCACACGCTTCCTCTTCGAGCTCCAATTTTCTCTTCATGGGAGGGGGTGTATGAATTATTTGTGGATTATCATTAGTATCATCATTGAATTTTGCAATGCCTTTCGTTGGCGTTTTGAAATGTTTTTCTAGGTCTTGACTTATTTGGAATTCTGTATGTAGACAAATAATTTAAAAAGTTATATAATAATTGAATTGTGATAGTATAATATTAGAAAATTAAAAAGTTTTATAAATGATAGATATTAATAAAAATTTCTGAATATAATTCACTCTTATATTACGAAGAATTTTTAGCTGTAGAAATATCTATATATCTATAAATTTATAATGTATAAGTTTAACTATGTACCTTTCGATATTTTATTTTCTGCTTCTAATTCATTAATCTTATTAGAATTAATCTTCTCGTTCAATTCCTTAGTTAGTTTTCTATTATGTAAAGTTTCAGTTGTCAACTTATTAGTTAAGGATTCTACTTGTTTTTTTAAATTAAAAATTTCTTCCTGTAAGTCTTTTATATTTTTTTCATTTTTATCTTCTAAATTACATGCATCATCAGCAATGGACTTTTTAATCTGTTTTTTTTTCTCATCCAATATTTTTTTTGCAAAGACAGATTGCGACATTTTTGAACTTATTTCTCGATCCTGCAATAAATACACTCATAAACTTCGAATATGATCATAATTATTTCTTTTGCTTATAGTTTACCATGCAATAAACTATTATTTCAATGTATGATATATTCCATATTAAACCGGATAACATTCGTCATCATGTCTTCCATTTTTATTATATTTCAATAGTTGAAAGTGTATGACAAAAAAAAACCAAAAATTTTTTCAAATTTTTTAAATTTCAGTTTCGAAATTTAATGAGAAAACCAAATTAAAAACGTTCCTGGTTCAATTTTAACTTTCTTCGTTTAATTTTTCTACGTAAATTCTCGACCTTATTCTTAAAAAATTCTCAAAATCAATAAGGTTCCTTAAAACTAAAATATATTTTTTAAAAGTTTCGCTACTTTTTTTATAAAAACTTTTTCTTACTTAAAGTTATTTTTCTCTCAGATTGCACATAGACTTTAAAAAGAATTTATTCGTATATTTAGTTGCATGTCATCAATTCTGAGCTCATTTTTAAGAAAAAAATTTCTTTTGCATTTAAAAATAAACTTAGAATTGATAGCATATGACTAAATTTGTTTTCTCTGTGCTATCTGAACTATTTCTAAAAGCCAAAATTTAAAAAAAAATTTGTTTATTTGTAGACCATGAAGTCATATTATTATGAAGTAAAAAACCGAACGCAGTAAAACTTTTAGTTACAATTTGTAGTTTCATTTATTGTTTCTCTTGTAAGTTTTGAAGTTTTACTCTCTCTGTTTTTTTTTATTTCATGAAAATGTGACATAAGGATCTACAAATAATTGTAAAGGTTTTCAAAATTGTAAATTCCGAAAAAATTGAAATACTAAAACAAAATTTTCGACAGATTATTAATTAATAAAAATGATGACATCTTTTTTAGATTAGCTGACGTAAAAATAATAACATTTTTGAAAGACTAACAGAAATTATCTTAATTTTTCCAAGTTTTTTTTTCAAAATTAGTATTCATGTAGAAATTAAATAACTGAAAATAGTGAGAATTACAACAAAATTTTATTAGATTTTTGCAGCAAATTTCGAAATTTTGAGGGAAGAATATAATGTAATTTTTTCGTTTTCATAGTATACATGTATTCGATCTATGAAATATATAAACGATGAATATTGTCCGGTTTGGCATTGAATTTTCTTTATATGTATATACGAAATTTTATTATAAAATATAAAATAAACAATTAAATTTACTGCAACATATGAAAATACATTCTACGTGTATACATGGGAACAGAAATGCCTAGCCATCTGAATTTGCAGGGGCACATATACATACATATATATTGAATATATACATAAATGTATACATATCTATAGGCCGCCC